TTAGTGTTCCTTAATTCACATGCTAACGACTACATAAATCATTCATCGTCTTTCAATAAAAAATCGGCAAAATTAAGCGAGCGATAAAACAAACGGTGCACCATGAGTGGCACACTTAATACGTGTCTTACGACAAGATCCGAATGTGAACAAATATAGTGAACGTAGCTATGTCTCCTGTCGCATAGGTAAGATGATGAACATCTCCCATTCCTCGGTGGTGTTGATGCGAAGGAATCCGCAAGTTTTGATGCTACTAACAAAGGTATAAAAATTGACGTTCGTTAGAGAGAACATGTGAATAAATTTTTTTTTAATGCAGCGAGCTATCCAAAATCATTTATATGACCCAAATCCGGCTAAGATTGAAGTACAGTCGGTCTTTGTGGTTTAAATTCACACAAAATTCACATTTCAAAGTTAAAATGCTCTTTAATTCGAAAAAATATATTAATAAAGTTAAAGTATATGCAATACATACTTTTGATAAAGGATAATGGACTTTATTTAGAAAAAAAAAGAAGTGAAATCACGTGTTTCCACCAAGACGCACAATAGGACCTCAAGTGTGTTGAATCGTAAGAAGTAAATTTTAAATAAAAGCAATGTGCCCTTAACGATCGCAGTAATATACTTTAAAAGCTATTGCGGTGTAATATATAACATCATTACTATTAAAAAAGGAACTACAAAAAAATCAACCAATTTTTTCAGCTTTAACTTTGCATTGAAGAACAACACGTAAACCACATCTACGTATAATAAGCGTGTCAACTAAGAACTCAGCAAAAGGAAGGAACTCGCACGTGAGATCTTCGCATGTCATAATCGAAAATCTAAAATTAAAACAAAATAATGGTAGGGAAAATATAAAATTATGTAAAGATAGTGGATCGCATCCCACTAGTAAACACCCTGTATGTCTTTTCAAAATAAGTCGTTGTATAAGAAGTAAATGTGTATATAAAAGTTGTCCGATCCATATGCAATGGCGTTCAATGGCTCGAGCCAAAATGCCTCGCTTTACTAAATTTCGTCAAAATTGCGGCGTATAGGTCGAACAAAAGAAAACAAGACAAACGGACAGACGGACGCACATACTTATGTCAATTTAGAAAATGAATCGATTGGTACAATAAAAGGAGAGTGCGTCTGAAGTCTTACTGGATGCTTCATACATCCGCACAAATTTAATACACCCGTGTACCACAAGCGCATGCCGCAACATAAATATAAATACTATTACCTTTGGTGTATTTCCCAAAAATAAAAAAAGCAACAGCAAGAACAGCAACGCATTTAAAGCAAGGGCACCCTTAGAGATCGATTCGCTTAAAAAATTACTGCCCTTAGTTTATCACACGTGCATTTTACTTCCTGATGATGAAAAAATTGAAAATATGAAATTGCTTTCAAATAATTCAAAAATATCTAAGCATTGGCAAGATGTTGAAAAGAAGAGATGTGTTAATGACAAATAGGTTATTGGTTATGATTGCTTACAATCTAAACTAAATGTCACGTGCTGTCACGTGGCGTATTGACGCCGGCGAGAAGAAAAACACTTAAATATGTTTTATTATAAGTTCATCTAGGTCTTCACTAGAAAAACCAACTAAAAATTTTCTATGTTGCTCGTAGTATTTTCAATAAAAACCATAAGCAATTAATTTATGAAAAAAAAAAAAAAATTTATTAAAATACAAACTTGCAGTGCAACTTAAGATGGCTTGTATAATTCAATGCAATGTTTATGGAATTGGACAGTTAATGCCTTAGGTGAAATTTTAACACAGGAACAGAAAGTCGAATAACAACAACTCAGAGTTATTCAGGCTCGTCAAGGGTATTATAAATATGCACAATGTACATCATAACATCATCACATCTTCATTATGTAATGACTATTTAATAATCAGTTATAAGCAGTAACTATTTAAAAAGCTTTGTTTTTTTTTTTAAATTTTCCTTAAAATTTCTTGATTTTTTCTAAATAGCATTTGTCAATTGTGTTAGTCGCCTGCTTTGCCATTTTACAAGTGTGACATAGTAATCAGCCAACAACCTACCTCAACGTGACAATTAATGATTGCATCACTAACGAAACTTTATACTTTAGTATACCTTGTGGTATCGTTTGCGAATGTTTTTATAACCCTTTACAGTCATTTATGTTGATTGCCGCTCGGTCATAAACAACTCTGTTAACTACTTTAATGCTTCAATTTGTGAAACAAAAAAAAAAAAAAGGGAAAGAAAAATAGCATTACAATCACTGTTATATTTACCACACACTTTAGCCAGGTATAAGGAACAACGATTGACATTTTTCGTCTACAAAAGCTAAACAAATGAAAAATTATTACCCTTGTGCAATGTGTTAGGTTTCAGCGCAAGGCAAATACATTTTTTTTGTTTTTCTTCCTCTATTGTCTAGACTGATACAATAACATCAATATTCACCTGCGGAAATTATCATATTTAGTGTAAGTCCTGGCATTTAAAACAATTTGAATAATATTCCAGACATATGTTTTTGTTAGGACTTTGAATCCAATTGAATTGAATTGATATATGTCTTTGAATTGTCTCAAGCAGCTACACCGTCGAATAGGCAAATATTACATTTCATATATACATACGTTTATTTTCATATACACTTGAAAAGCCTGATATGCCGTAAATCAGGCTTCACGCGCACACACAATTTCTACGAAAAATCCTTTATGTTCGTAATAAGTAACGTAGAGTAAGAGCGATAACTGAACAAATGTTAAGCAATCTCTTTAAAACGAGCCGAATGACAAGAAATATTTAATCTTAAACGGCGCAATTTATGAGGGGCTGTAATTGTACAATCATCCGTAGAAATGACTTGAAACGTTTTTTCCCTTAATCTTACATTCAAAACGATTCTCGAACGCAATCTTGCTAGTCGTACTCAAGACAGCACACAGTTTCGCAAACTAAAAGGAGCATACGTGAAAAACAATCATTCGAAAGTTGTTTACTAAATATAAAAATTTAATAAAAATATTTTTTAAAAAATTTAAGACCTCGTTGTTTGTCCTAGTAGTGACAAAAGAAGTCCTCACAATAATAAAAACATTTCGCAAGAAAGATGTCATCGGCCGCTACATATATTTTTGGTAAGAAGCTCAAATTTTCACTGCACAAATTTATTAATTTCTTTCAGGTCCGCAAAACATTTTGCGAGTCTACGAACTTTTTTACTTTTCTTAACAAGAATACTATTAATCTTAACACTATTATTAGTTAAAAGAAAAAAGAAACAATTATGTATAAATAGCTAACTATTCGTATTTATTTATTCATAAACTTATTGTTTATTAATTTTTTGCATAATTATTTTCCTAATTTCAATTAACTTACATATGAGTTACATTCAATGATCACTGACATATTTTGCTTATTGCATAGTCCCCCTTCCATGATAACCTATTAAAGGCACAGCCAAATTTCTGAGTTTTTCTTCTTTTCATTAATGAAACCGAACATTTTAAAGTTTGGACAAAAAATGATTTATTTAATGGATTTTTGCCCAATACTAGCCGCTTCTCTTCACGTCTTTTAGGCACAAAAAGATCTATTTTCTGGGTACTACCACAATAATAAAAGCCCTGCTCGAACAAACATTAAATCATTTAATCAGTGTCAATCACAAGTACAAATTTATGCTGAGAACGGGGAGAAGGGCGTATCGTATTCTGTAAGTTTCAACTTATGAGACGGAACTTCATCGCACTAAAAGATCAATATATCAACAATTTCAACACACCATTGGCACTTTTCAACTGAGCGGCATCGGATTTTGTTGATGGTATGCTTTAGTGCGGGTTTCGTTTTTTTTTTTTTTTTGGAACAACCTATAATGCTGCGCAGCCAGTTAAAATCGCTAAAAGTAGTCAGGAAACGGGAAAAAAGTTAAGACAAATAAAATGAAAGACCCCCAAAAAAAATTTATTACAACATTTAGATTTCTTCCCGTCAAGAGTGGTTGGCGATAATGTAATGAAATTCTTCGTTTTCTCGCTTTGTTTTTTCTTAGCTTGATGCACTTGTGAGCGAATTACAGGCGGCCTTCAGCGGTATAAAATTTGCCAATATATAATATATAATATGGTTTTAACGTAACACGGCCCATAGTACCTCAATTTGTTTTATTTCAAAGTATCGGATAATACGGTTTCGATATAACATAAAAACGTTTCATATAACAGTAGATCTACTTTTAAAATTAGATTTACCTGAAGACATACCTATTAAGTCTCCGTTACTAATTTTAATTTTTGTAATCGTGCCATTTCTAAAAATGGACGAGTGTTATTTGGTCAAATTAAAAATTTTTTGCTTATCATGTAGAAGAGGAATATATTCTCGTTGATGCCTCTAACTTGCTTATATTTATGTATTCATTTTTCGTCGATAGAAACAAACATTCATTACATAGATCAATAACCTGCTATAAATATAATTCTGATATTTAGCCCAAAGCCTTGCTATGATACCTCTAACGTAAAAGAACTCGTTTAACTTTTATATAAATTTTTATTTCAATGCTTCGAAGTGCGAAATTGCTAAGTGAGTGCATTGGCGCATGGAAAGAAGAGAAACCTTTTGCGAGGATAGACGATAGTGCTGAAAAAGCCATCTGGTCGTGTAAGCTTACATAGTCGAAATCCGAATCCACATAAACCCCATATACAAGTGAGTTTCGTAGCCGATATACATGTGGTTAGCGACGAATTGGGACTAAGTCTTTCATAATAGTTTGCTTCTCCGATTCATTTTGTCGGTATTTCCCGGGAGAGTTTGTCAAAGACTTATGTGTTGAAAGTTTTTTTCTTACTTAAAAAAAAACATAAGCGCCGGGATCTAATTGCTTGGTTTAGTAAATATTTTATCAAAAAACGAAAAGGTTTTGTTATATTATGATGGACGTCACTTTTATGCTTTCACGTGTATGTATGTATATATTGTACTTAATTAACATAATTATGTTTTCTTAAAAATGAATGCATTCATCTTATTATCGTAGCTGTTGTAAACTTCCTTATCCGAATCAATTATCATCAATAGTGATATTTAATTGTTTGTGCAATACCTTGACAAATTCATCCCATTGACTGCGATATACATTGCCAGCTATCGGTTCGCCCAATTGATATTTTTCACCAAATTCCTTTATGTGAAACATTTTATGTGGGTCAGCATTAGTATTATTGAGGTGTGGCTCATTGAATGTTAATTTTTTTGGCTGTTTATAAACCAAAAATGCATAGCGCATTATGCCGCTAATTTTCGAAGCTAATGGGCCCATATAAGGACAGATAATTTCACCTTTATTCACCTCTAAGCCGGGTACATTGACTACAAGCCAATGTAACCATTCGGACCAATAAGACTCGTTAACGAATGGAGCATCAGGATTGCCCATGTATATGGTATAGAATTCATTTGGGTCGGCAACCCATACCAAATGCGGTTCATCTTTAGTTTGCGTAGGAGTGAATTCCTTACCCATACCAACCAAAAGATTACCAGGATACTCTATCTATTGTATATAAATCAGATGTTGATCAACAATTTTTCAATAGATAAACAAATCTTTCCAAATACCTTTAAAAAGTCCTTTGGTGCTGTATCCAACATATCCGGTATAATCTTGTACTCTCTAAAGAGTTTTTCGACATCATCGTTTGCCCGAACGAAAGTTAAGATTAAAACCACTAATAACAACTTCAAATGCATATTGAACTTAAACTTTAGTTAACAATTCATTTACTCCACTATTTATATATTTTGTACTCTTTTGTTAGAGAAAATTATTTTTTGATTATAATCAATTTTTTTTTTTTTCACAATTGTTTGATGCTTTTTCTATGAAATGTAATAACAGCTTTTATGCATGTTAAAGGCTATTGTGTTGTGATAACTTGATAATTATTTGAATAATTTTATTTATATTATTAATGTAAAGTAGAAAAAATTTGATTGGTCACGCGAGCATATGTTAGGCAAATAGTAGAGGAATAATTTCAAACGACCCATTTTTCGATACATCAGCAATGCATATATATATATATATAGGATGTGGACTTGAAAATGGAAATAGAGACTTTGCCTTTTCTTCGTTTTATCGAAAGCACACATGAGATCCATATTTTCTACCCACTATGGCATATTTGAAGGTGCCGATCGCAAGAGCGTGTCACGTCTTTTTATGAAAGCTAAAAGTAAATCCTCATCCACTATCAGATGCGATACGAACGGATATATTGGAAAAGTAAAATCATTTCAGAATTCTATCTTGATAAGTATATTGTTTTCCATGATGTTTTTTTCTGGATTTATCAGACAGAACGATAGAACTCCCGTATTCCATGTTCCCATGGCGTAAGTAGAGAATTCATGTAAACCAAAAATTGTGAAAGAATTAAATTAAATATAATTAAATGGAACGAAGCTTATATTAAAGTACATAGTTATTGCAATGTACATCACTTGTGGTGCGCGAGGGCATTGGTTGTAGTTTTTCCATAAAGTTTGACTAAGGTCAATGGTTTATAATATAAAAAAAAAAAAAGTCAAAGTGAAAAACATGTGAAAAATTTGATGCTTGCGGTTGACGCCATATTTAATTTTTAGGTACTACTTGATCTATTGGAATAAGTGAAGGCATGAACAAAAAGAAAAAGTTGGCAAAAAAGGACATAGATAAGTGGAGAAATATTGATATGAACATATTATATCGAAGAAATTGCATAGATAATAATGTATATGAGGGGTTGTTCATTTTATGAATAATATGAAAGTTAGAAAATGTTCAACATGCAATAGTAACTTCATGTGATGACATTTATACAAGACATACATATATGCAAACTATTTGAGAGTAAATAAAATGAAAACAATCAATATGTCATGCAAATAAGTTGACAATAAATGTCTCAATTTTAATCAAACATGATCTCTACAAATTATATGTATACATGAATGTACAATAAGTTGATTAAAAAGGAAGATCCTGCTTGAAATACTACGTAAGTGATTGTTTCACCGTTTGAACATAAAAACTACAGAGTGACTTGTTTTGTATAAAATTTGATATTCGCGCTGCTCGAAGAAAAATAAAAATTTTTCCAAAAAGTAACAAATCAGTTTGCATAATGACCTGAATTAAAAATGAAAAACTGAAAAAAAAGTGATTTTGTCTAACAAAAATGGTAATTTTTCCTTTGTTTGATGGTAGAGAAATGAAGGGTAGTGTGCCGAATGGCTCAGGGCTTAAGGAAACCGCTCAAAGTCTTTGGCTACATTAAAACTGTCTGCCAGGAAAAGGAAATAAAATAACGTCAGTTGAACGCTTTTCTTAACTTATCATCATGTGCTGCGCCAAAGTGCTAAATATATTTTTGATAAATGTTTAAATTAACTTTGGACAAAGGTTATTATTTGTGATATACATATATCGACCATCCTGACCCTTTAGGGTAAACTCATGTCCAGGGCTCCCTCAATGTCACGGTTTTAGGAAACAAACAAACAAATGTTCAATTGCAAATGACTTCGAAAGCAATGTCTCAATAGGCCGTTTGGCGATATATGCTCCGAAGGCCTTATCGTAAACTGTCGTTTACTGTATAGTTACCATGAGTAATAGCGATACCTGCTTTGTTTAGCTGTTAATGTAAAGTTGCCGTGAAAATTTTACATCTAAAGAAGGTTGTTGTTGCAATTTTTGTTTCTAAAGGAGAAAAAAGAAACCGTTAAGCAAGTTTCTTTGGCATCTATAAAATCCTCATATCTACCAATCGGTTGTCTCAGTGCAATCGCATTAACGTATTTTTGTTCGGAAAGGGTTTTAAGTGAACATAAATACCTTTCAGTGACATCTGTTAGTGTATTAAAGAAGTTAGAAATCAATAGATAAGACATTGGACTGTAATTTCCCAGCAAGCGTTCATAGTATGCAGATGGTCTCTTCCGGAAAGAGCACGAAATTTCAAGGAAACATTTTTTTTGCCCGCCATGAAATTTTTTCTCCGTATTCTAGCAAATCTTAAGCATCTACTAAGTAAAAAAGAATTTTGATGATGATACCCCTTAAGCAATATCCCCCTTTGAATGCATTTTCTGTGGATAGTTACACACTAAACAACGCTCCGTAAAACTAAATGTAGCAATAGCGTTTACAAAGCAATAGAGACATTCCAAACGTTTCGTCAGCTAATGCGTTTCATGTTTTGTGATGATGATGTTAAGTTGCTTCTCCGCGTTAACAACAAACTTGTGAAATCATTCAGTTATTTGATTGCAGCAGCAAACATGTAAACGTTCGATTACAGCAAAAAAAGAGTTATGTTACCTAAGGGATCACTTTACTTTACACCTAAGTGTACACGAATTTTCTTAACATACTGCAAGCAAACATCAAGCCTACTTAGGCTTTTAGAGCTCAGTTTTTCTTTTTTCAGTTACGTATTATGCCATGTAGTATTTGATTTCAACTGTAGTACACTTGTATAAACTAAACGGTTATTCCTCCAGGGTATACTATAAAGGCTTTTTATGACTTTTTTGACGTTCTCTCATACGTTAAATTTTTCAGTTTCTTACTTTTGCCAAGAAATTGAATCTTTAGTAACAGAAAATCTGACATCGTAATCTTATCAGTGTGTTGTTCGAAAGAAAGGGTACATTCATACACATGTATATACATATATATATTTATAAATGTCAGGAAAGAAATATCCGCAAAAAGCGTTGCGCCAAATTAATGTACATATTGCAAACATACGGACATGTTAATTTATCGACGGGTTGATTGCGATCATTTTCAGTTTTGCTTTTTTTTTTTTTTAATATGATCAATTAACCATGTGATGTCTCCTATAGGTGTGACACGGTGATAGTTAGAAAGGAATGTGGAAAAGGAATGAGGTAACGACTGCAGCAAAGCAAGGGTGCCCCCAATCGGTAAACGGACTGGGCATTCACTATAACTATGTCCAACTATGGTCTACGGCACTGAGATCCGAAAATCGGCTTGATAGTCGCAAGTAGCACCTGTTCGCCTATATAGCAGATGTATGGGGCTGACATGATGTGGCAACCAACATCGGGAACGTACTCACAAACCATGGACACACATTTCATTTACATATCCGCTTGTTCAGTTCTAAGTTGGATCCTAGCTGGTTCACGTGCACGTTAAGGCCTCGTACAGCATACATAAACTTTATCCAAAAGCAGAAAACTGATGACTTCATTTCAAGATTTAGCAACGTCAGGTAGGTACAGCGTAAGCAACCGTGCTTGCAGCTGATAATGCCAGGATCCGTTGCTGTCCAATCACACACTGTACTCAGATCGTCAACAACATCCCGATCTACAGAAATTGTTTATTTAAACTAGAGTACATTATATGCGAATCTGTTAATTTCATTTGCATTGTAGTGGCAAGGAAAAATGACTGGACAGTTTAATTTTTGAGTGGAAAAATCATGACTTGTTTTTTTTTCGTAAAATTATTACATATAATTAAAAATATGTAATTAAAAATATGTAGTTGTTGTAGTAGAAGCATTAGCTAATAATCTCTTTGGTATTAAAAGTGAGACGAAAACGTTATCTAAAAACGACTTGAAACCTCAAGACGAACGTACAAAAGTTGTCGTTAACTAACATAACATGAAAATATTGTTGTTTTCATTTTCATGCCACTTCAAACTCACTATACGCTCATAACCTGATTATCGGCTGGTCTCCCACATTTTTTAATGTTAACACTTGGTAAAGAGTTGCTTCACGTATAAAGGTTTATCTTGTTCGCAATGCTTTATAGAACAGATGGATCACATTTAGTTGCGATAGTTAATGTCATCAATTTCGTCAAGATAGTAGAAATTTGTATTAAATCCATACAGGCGTGATTTAAAGGAATAGAAAAGTTTATCGTTTTACTCAAAAAATGAAAGAAAATGCATTCATCACTTATTCTAGAGTTGTTTAGCGAAGGAAAAGAACTTGATTTCTATTCAAATTGTCAATTTAACTGCAAGATTACGAGTTTACAAATAACTGACTTAAAACTGTTGCAAATAACATTTATTTTTCTGTACACCAGTACTATTCCTGTCGTTCACCTACAAAGGAGCAGCACTACGTATACATGCATTACTCTCTTGTTTGTCGTTAGAAGCGATTACGAACTGTACGTATATACATCGTTTGAGTTGCTCGAGAATGGAATGCATGTAATCCTGTGCTGACATCAAGGAAAGAACATTTTGAATAGTTTTCGATGTTTTTCTGTGCGACTCTTTATTTTCCTTTCCTTGCAGCCGAAAGCAGCTAAGCCCTCTTACAAGTGAATTAAATTTATTTGATTGTACTCAGTATTTTTATTTCGTAACATCGTTATTTTATAGCAATGAAAACAAAAATTTCTTTTGAAATAAAAAAAAAATGTTTCGTATCCAAAATAGTTTGCAAAATGTAACCTAGAGTTAATTCTTCATTAGTTAAATGACATTTTTAAATGTTTGTTAGCTTCTAGACATAAAAAAAAAGTGCAAAAGCGTTCTACTGTTAAGGATAAGCAAAAGACATGCTGCAGTTTTGTTATATTCATCAAGCGAATTATAAATTTTGTTTCGCATTAGCTTATATTCTAAATCAAAGGTTATAGCTTAACTGAAAATTTGAAAAACCGAAATAAATAAACATAACTCTTGATTTACTCAGTTACACAAGACATACTGTCA